CAGTGAAGATTTTTAGGAGCCAGACCTCCTTGGAAGAATCAGTATCCATTGAAAGATGAAGCAATCCAAGGGATTGAACCAGAAATTGAAGGACTTTCAAAAGCAGGTGTTTTGAAGACAAAATAAAAAAATCCTTAGAGTAGGAATAAATTGTTGTTTTGGGGAGAAACCATGAGGGGTTGATAGTAGCGCCTCTGGACCTATTAGGTCTGATGATTTAGGAAGCTAGGGGTTAGCTAATGTTGCAAGGGGGGAGATTAGGATAAATATGAAAAAGGAGTAGGGTTTTTGGGAATAATATTTGCTTGAACAGATTGACTATATCATAGGAAGGTGCACAATCTGTCTGAAAAGTAATGTTTACAGGGGGTGACTGTTATTCTTGGTTACATTCCTACACCAAGAGGGGAATAAGATTTCAAACTAAGCTAAAAGATGCTCAGTCGTTTGCCAAGTCTGTGTGTAAAGAAGTCATAAGCAGGTGGGGACTTCCCGATCACATATCCTCAAATTAGTGGGAAAGGAATTTGTGGATAAATCAGTGAAATGGTTTTTGAAAAGTTAGAAGAAAAGTCAGACAAAAAAGTTAAGAAAACTAGGGTTGAAGGAACTCTAGGACGGTCAGCTCAGCTTCAATGTAAGTGCACGAGAGAGAACAGTGGTGAAGGGAAATTTAGAGTTCAGTGGGAAGATAGATATGGCAGGAGTTTAGATCTGTTTGGAGCAGTTGCATTGAGAAAGTATGCGTTGTTGAATGATAAGAGAAGAATGAAGATTGAGGGTGATTGCAGTATCTATGTTTACGATTCCCAGCAGGAAGATCAAGGTGATTATAAATGTATTTTTTATAATCAACAGTTTGAAAGTGAGGGATTAGAGTTGGGACTGAGAGTTAATGTAGTGACACTAGTGGTGATAGATGGAAATACAAGTAAAGAGTTCAAAGCTTTAGGGAAAATTGATGGATCAACAACAATGACATTAACACTTCAGTCTATTATAGCAACGGTGAGAAGCAATTCAACTCTTTCGACATTGATAGTTATTAAAGCTATAAATATATCACATTTGATTACAAGGGAGCCAATCGAGAAGGAATGTGTAGAGGTGATATTCCTCTCATGTGGAGAGATAATTATGGAGAAGAAGTGTTGTTATGAGGACCAGAAGTAGAAGCTGTGTCACCTAGTGAAAGGAAGTATATTTTGTACAACAATATGAAGTGGAAGAGGGTTATGAGTGATTGCTAACTTATTTTGAATAATGTTAGAGGGAAGATTAGGGAGAATACTATCATGGAGGTATAGGATGAGTTGTTTGATTTTGATGGAAGACAAGAATATATATCTGATCAATACTGTTCGTTAGGGAAGAGAGAAACTAAATGGAAGGCATTTGGATTTAATTCTTCTGTTTGGAAATTAAAGATGGATGGGCAGGTAGGAATCTTTGGTTCCAGCAGTTAATTCATACTGTAAGATCAGTGAGGAATCTTGAGGGTCCATGTCTGTTGAGAATTCCAGCACTAGGAACATGGGGTTGAATCTTAGAGAAGGTAGCTCAACCTCTATAAAGTATGTGTCAATCTTATGCTTTATCATGGCTGTTGTATTAGCAACAATCATTAACAGATACAATAATGTCGTTGTCGAAGCATTTGTTTAGGCCTAGGTTTAAGTGTTCTTGGTTAAATGAATTACCCTATGTGAATTTGTTAGATGGGAAGGAAAATCAGTTAACAGCGCTTCATGAAGCATTGGAGGTGAAACCAGTGAGGGCTAAAAACTGTTTTTGTTAAAATAAAACATATGATGGAAAGATGATGTTTAGGGGAATATCAGATGGTGATGATTATATGATGACTTTGGGTAAGCATGAACATAAGGTTAGTAATGAGAAATATAATGTCACTTTTGATGTTTCATTTAGTAAGAAGAGCAGGAGTTTGATGGTGAAAGATCAGCTTTTGCATTGTAATGTGGCTATTGGGAATTTTAGAAACATCTGGGGTTTGTGGTGAGAAATAATATATTCTTACCCTATGGATGGAAAGGATGTTGTTACATGTCGACGTTGAAGCTTCCATATGAGGTTTTTACCATTAAAAGAGGGGAAGCACCGGACACTGATAAATCTGAGTCTAGGTTTGGAAATAGGGTGAAAAGGGACAGAGAGGAATTTCATAGTCTGGAAGCTACCATTGGAGGATAAGTCTAGGAGAGAAGTGGGGACTTTTTCAATGGTATGGTGTAAAATTTGGGAAGATAACATAGATAATATTACCTATAATTTGAAGGGTTTTGCAAATGAAACGATAAGAGGGTTTAACCTTCTGTCAAGACTCAAAGGAGCATTGATTTATAGATATCAATTTTGAATATCCGATCATTTTTTCACGTTTTTAAATATTATGGTGATTTTAGTATTTTGTGATGAATCAAAGGGGGGAAATGGTATGAGATTCATTTTATATATCATTTTATATATCATTTTTAGTTGATAGTGATGTTTTAATTTGAATGTGTTGTTTTGCAAAAGATACTGTTTGGTCTTTTATTTTCTTCCAGAAGCATATGTGGGAATGTGTAGAGGGGATTCAAATACTCAAACATGGACAATATGAAGGGACAATATGAATGGACTGGAGGAAGTGGAACAAGGAAGGTGTGGAAATGTTCAGATTCCATCATCGACATTGCATTGGAAGTCGACACTGCTGAGGAGATGAAGTGTAGTGGACTACATTCCAGTGTCTGCAATGATATATAGATTGATTGATTGATGGATATTTGGAAAGAAAGCTGCCAGACAGGTTTTTCGCTCTCACACTCCATAAAGATTTGTTCATATTTCATAGAAATGTATTTACACTCCATAGAAAAATGTGTTTTGGTTTATTGTTAAAGATACTCAATAAGAGAAATTGTTATTTGTCATAATCCTATTCTTTTTGTTTTCGAGACTTAATTAGTCTCGAAGGGGGGAAATATGTGGTGTCTAAGGAATTTATGACTTTGCTAACGTTTGCAAATGGTATCTTGGAGGATGTTGATTCAGCTTAGGGAAGCATCTGGGGAGCAGTTTTATAGGGGCACCCCATAAAACAGTGGAAGTCTGTTGTGTGGAGTCATGGGATTGGTCTCTAGGGGAAACCACCCATATCATGGTAAAGATTATAAATACTTGGTGAGACAAAGGAGGACAGAACAACATATTATTTTGGGTCGTTGTTCTCCAGATGCCTGCAGATGTCTGTAAACTTACGCTAAAATCTTGTGATATAAATAAACCTTTATAATCAAAGTACAGTGTAAGCGGACTCCTTGTTCTCACAGCAAAGATTAGCATCATTATTTAGAAACAACAGAGGTATTGCAGTGGAGGCTCTGGTGGTTGAAAATCAACACTATCCCTCCACCCCCTCCTGCGGCAGAATCAGCACCCTTGCTTGTGGAGATTTTACTAGCAATGGAATGCTTTGATAAAGGATGACGGTATAGTAAGTAGCCTATTATAAACTGTAACACATCTGACAAATTAGAGTAACATGCCATTTTATCAATAGGGACATCAAACTTGTGCAATAGAGTACAGACTGTTTGGTTTAACAACGTTTCCATAACTCCATACATAGGCTTTTTGTTTTGTTTTGAAATGTGTATGCCAGTAATAGCCTATGTTAATTTTATCACCAGCACTTTTGGAACCATACCAACAATGTAGCTATATAATCCAACCACCTTTATTCCTCAACCTGCCTTGATTCCCTTTGGTCAGAGTGACAACTGTCTTGATTCCTTTTGGTCAGAGTGACGACTGCTGGAAGTTTCTAATTTTCACAGACTGACCAAACTTTTTAGATTGTTGGTCATGAAGATGTCCCTTTCTTAAAATGTTGTGGCTAAAGGAGGGTCGGGGAAGCGAACCCAGGTCACTGGCGTGAAAGATAAGCAGCCTACGCATTGCGCCAACAGGGTCAACCAACCTAATATGAATTGTCTTGTGGCTCACTGGCCCTTATTAGCGAGGATCACTATACTGCCGCCCCCGAATGGGAAGGCACGTCCCCTTGCTTCGACCCCTTTGACCACCAATATGTATCCTACAGTTTTTTAGAGAGACAATATCTTTGTGGGAGTCCTTCCTAATTAAAACCCTAACCAGCCATAACATACGCATTAGATTTCTATTGTCTGCCATTTTCTGTCTTTTAGCCTCTAATTCGTTTTCTCTCCTGAAGAGGATTTGTGTTGGTCTACTGGTTTTCCTCAACATCCACCCTCTTTGGATTTCTTATTGTTGCCGGCTATACAGCCAGAGCTTGTGTGCTCGCCTAGGGTTTCTATGTTAGTCTATTTTGGGATTAGGGTTATGTTATGAAACGTGGGATACTACATTATAAATATGAATTATCCAAATTATCAATCAACTGTAAAAACGTTCAGATACTGTTTAACCAGCAGAGCAGAAGTGCCAAGAGATGAGAAGAGTAGGCTATCTCAGCTGATAAAAAATAAAAACAACTATTTGAATTGTGTTTGAGTTCCATGCATGTTTGTTGAACGCTTTGACACCTTGAAAGTGAAAGTGAGAGTGGTTCAGTGAGTGGGCTCGGCCTAGAACATCAGGGAGCTGATGAACGCAGGAACGAACGTTCCTTTTCAGAACCATGGAGAGCGCACTGTGCATAGTGGCGCAGTCCCTTCTTCTACTCCTACTTAGAGCCATATGTATATTCTAAATTATTCTACTCCTACTGCTCTCTAAACCATGGTTCATAGTTCACCATTTTATAAACTCCCAAATCATCTCCAAAATTCAACTGAATTGATATCACTGTTAAATGATTTTTAATCCGTTTGGTAAACATGTTCATCCCATTGTGACATTGCCATGGAAGCATTTGACGTATTAATGGTTCCCTATAAAACCCTGTAATTCTAAGAACGTGTCAGATGGTTTTGAACTCGGTCAAAATCACTGCAGTATGAAGGGCGATAATGAGTAGGCATACATTCAGTACTTTGTTGAAAGCGACCACGCTGAGATTCCTCCGCGAGCGGCCGCTTCTGTGTGCAGCTGGCCTGGTGCTTGCGACTGGTTCGGCTGTCTACTTTTATAGAAAATATTACGGCGTCGGTGAGGATGAACCGGCCACCGTGGAGAGCGTGTACCGTGTTGTCACGGTTGAGGAGGGTAAATTTACAGATTTTACAATGTCTAAATAGCAATACATACTGTTTATAGTACGGACTGAAACTATATTTAGCCATCATCATGTCATCATTTGAGTCCCAAACGGCACCCTATACCCTATTCCCTATTCCCTATTTTTTTTTACCAGGGCCAATAGTTATATGGTCAAAAGGCTCTGGTCAATAGTAGTTCACTAAATAGGGAATATGGTGCCATTTAGGACTCAAATAATGACATTTACGTCATTTCGCAGACGCTCTTATCCAGAGCGACTTACATTATATATTTTTTCATACCCCCTGTGGGAATAGAACCCACAACCCTGGCGTTTCAAACACCATGCTCTATCAACTGAGCTACATCCCATAATGACATAATGATGGCTAGCAAAGCCCAGAGGAGATTTGATATGTTTTACAGTGTAGCCCTAGATGCTATGGAATTCCACTATTAACAACAACAAACGATCATGCTCCTCTGAAACCAAACCTTTGCTTTAGGTTTAATTGAACATATTGGTACATTATGCAGACACATAAATACAATGTGATATCACACAATATAAAATACAAATAAAATATAAGATCGGCCTAACTACATGGACAGATGTCTGGTGTCTTGCAGTATTTCTTAAACTTAGAGAAAATAATCCTTTATTGTTTATTCATAAAGATCATGAGCCCACCCTGGACCAGGAGGACCCAGTCCTTGTTCAGGTAATAATGTAGGCCTATCAATAGTCTGAGTACCGGTCTGTTACTACTCTCTTGCTAATTCCATCGTGGCAATATGATATTTGCATAACAATCCAATAAGGTTGTGGGCAGAAAGCTGAAACAGACTGGCACCCAGGCTATAACAATACTGCTTCTGTAGCAGGATTGGTTCAATAACAATCTGACATTCAAACTGTAATTTTACTCACTCGAAAATTGATCCTTAGTTTGTAGATGAGGAGGTTTGGCAGCGGCCCTGTCTGGCTTTAATCCCTTGGTCTGGACCTCTGTGGGTTTCAAGCGCTGTAAGTCCATCCATTCTGATACTCTCTGGTCTTTAGACTGGTTTATGTAACTTAAACATAAACATGACGTTTTCTAAAGAACAATATAGAAATACATGTCTGTAAACATATTTCCTGTTTTTCTAATAGTCTGTAACACTGCAGCCAACGTATTACCTTACCCATGCTGGGAGGATGCTGGTGAGAGAGCTGGCAGTGTTAAACCCACAGGTAACCATGCAGATTATTGGACAAAGCTAATCTGATCTAATAGGCAGGATTACCTTCAGTATCTACTATGGTAGTGGGATACTTTGATGTCCTTAAACCTATTCCCTAATTTTCTTACAGATTTTCATGAATGAGCAACACATTTTCATCTCTCATGCTGGCACGATGGTATGGGATGAACAGTTTTCTCAGCCTGAAGAGGTAGCCATTCACATGCAGGTACTTTAGACATGTTCTTAACATTTGTAACTCAGACCTGTGTGTTTCAACTACTATCATTGCAGTGGCCTCCTCTTGCAATCCTCCCTATACCAGTCTTTCACTCCTATACTAGTGTATTATTCAACTGACTCTTAAATGGATCCTGTCTTGTTCCTTAGTATGTGGATGAGGAGGTTCGGCAGCAGCCCTGTCTGGCTTTAATCCCTTGGTCTGGACCTCTGTGGGTTTCAAGCGCTGTAAGTCCATCCATTATGATACTCTCTGGTCTTTAGACTGGTTTATGTAATTTAAACATAAACATGACGTTTTTTAAAGAACAATATATAAATACATGTCTGTAAACATATTTCCTATTTTTCTAACAATCTGTAACACTGCAGCCAACATATTACCTTACCCATGCTGGGAGGATGCTGGTGAGAGAGCTGGCAGTGTTAAACACACAGGTATCCATGCAGATTATTAACCAATGCTCATCTGATCTAATAGGGATAATTAACCTTCAGTATCCACTTTGATAGTTGAATACTTTGATGTCTTTAAAGCTGTTCCCTTATTTTTACCAGATTTTCACGATGGAGCAGCCTATTTTCATCTGTTTCACTCCAGCTAGGAGGATGGTATGGGAGGAACTATCTTCTCAAAATGAACAGGTAGCCATTCATATGCAGGTACCTCATAGGTTTCCTTAACCTTTAAACACAGACCTGTGTAGTTCAACTGCCAATTGTCTTAGAATCTATCTTTGCAGTGGCCTCCTCTTGCGATTCTCCCTATACCAGTCTGTCACTTCTATACCAGTCTCTCATTCAAACTGACTCTTAAATTGATCCTGTCTTTTTCCTTAGTATGTGGATGAGGAGGTTGGGCAGTGGCCCTGTCTGGCTATAATCCCTTGGTCTGGACCCTTGTATGTTCCTGTCTCTGTAAGTCTATCCATTCTGATACTCTCTGGTCTTTAGAGGATATTAAACATTAACATCAAGTCACTAGTTTTCTATAAAACAATATAATGAAGAGCTGGCAGTGTTAAACACACAGGTAACCATTCACATTATTAACCAAAGCTCATCTGATCTTATAGGGAGAATTTCCTTAATTTGATGGCTTTACCCTATTCCCTCTTCTTTTCACAGACTTCCAAATGGGTTACTGAGGAGCCTACCTTTCACCTCACTGAAGCGGGGAGGCTAGTGCTTGACGAACTGTCAGCACCTTTAGATAGCCATTCACAGGTAGCTATTCACATTATTAGACAGTCATAGAGTATTAGTAATAGTACACATTAACATGTCCTCTATCTCCACAATTGTGTTTTTTATTAATCACAGAGAAACCTCTGAAATTAGGGGATGTCTTTGTTTTTCAGCCAAATAGTGAAGACTCTCGTTTTCCCTATGAGAAGTTGCAGCTGGTTGGGAACTGGGGTTCGTTTAATTTCCATTACTGGAAGATCCATTATGGACGAGTGCAGGTACTTCAGACATATTCTTAACACTAATGAACACACCAGTATATTTTAACTCCCATTTGTCTCTGGGGTTTCTTTTGTATGTCTGGCCCTAATTGAAACGTAGGGGAAAGTTGTTATATCACTGCCAGTAATGATAGTCAAAACTTCGTCTGCCAAATGATATAGAAATCTATAGTTAAAATATAGAGAAAGGTCTGCAGACTGAAGGCGTTTTTTCTTTTAGCAAAATGAAGAGGACTTGCATCACCTGTGCATTGTGAGGGGAGTGGAGAAACAGCTGTGGTGGAGCAGAGTCATTCAGGAAAAAATCCTGGACCCATGGGTGAGAGATTCTCAACTGATCTTTCATCTCAAATGCACCTGATTTGTGTCAAATGACGCACACAATATAGGGCTACTTATATTTCCTGGATGAAATGTAATGTTTCCCTGTGTCTCTTTTAAAGGGTCTTGTCCAGGTGGTCCTCACCAACAAGGAGCTGACTGGTATTAAGGTACAGTCAAACACTTTTTCACCCCCCAAAAATGGGAAGTGGCAAATGTCCATTTACCTGTTTCAATAAATGTTGACAGAAAATGAAATGAGACATTTGAATTTCTATCCTCATTTTTAGTTCCTTGGTAGAAGGATCTATGGACTCAAGTCCTGCCTTGTCAAGAGGAGGTCTGAGTTCACCTATTATGAGGATGCCCAGGTATAACTCGTTGTTTCTCTGTGCTAGGATTTATTTCAGTGTTTGGTTGAGGGATTTTTAATATTGTGGTTTTCAATGTTGGGCTTACAGTGTCACATGTTGTGTGTTAAACAGCAGGTGGATATCTCCACCACAGTGGAGGGGTTCCAGGAGAGGGGGGATGAGATGACGTCGTATCAGTTCTCCACCTCTGACATCATCACCACCCCTCATGAACCGTTCTCTGGCTCCTCTCACCAGTTCCCCCAGGATTCTCCCCCTCCCCCTCCCCCTTTCCCTTCCGATTCCCCTCCCAGTCCCCCTCCACCTTTCCACTCCACCCAGGACCAGGACCAGACCCCTGACAGCACTCCTCACGTAAAACTCTTTCTACAGTCAATAGCACTTTTTTCTTTGTTTTACTGACATTTGTACTTGTGTGTACAGGTGTGTGTCTAAGTGTCATTGTGTTCAAAACACAATGTTTTGGTATCGACAGGTTTGTATTGTCTGTCAAGGTCAAGTTTTTAGGTCAAGATGAAAGTATTGTTATGATGTCACTGAATGTTTTGTCTGCTTTAGTTGATGTTGCAGGTGAAATGCAGTTTAGTAGAGTTGATGTTAATGTGATGTCTGCTTTAGGAGTTTGTGGAGGAGCAAAATAATGTTGCAGATGTGCCCCAGCTGTGGTGAGTTTGCTTTAATGTGTTCATCTATAGTAAAAACATTTGCTTTGAAATAATCTGCCCAATATTGTACTTATACAGAAGTAGGACCTTAATAACCTTTTACTGCAGTGGGCTAGATCAGGGTCACACAGTGTGTTTCTTAATAGTCTTAAACAAATCTACTTTGAAGCAAAAGTATACATTTCACACATATGGATATGGTCTTAAAAAAAGAAGACACCTTTACCATGTCAGATATAGAGTTGAAACACTTTCTATACGTTACCAGTCAAAAGTTTGGACACACCTACTCATTCCAGGTTAAAAAAAATAAATAAATATATATTGTAGAACAGGTTTCTTCAATTCCGGTCCTGGAGGGCCGAAACACTTCTGTTTTTTATTTCTACCTGGTAGTTAATTGCACTCACCTGGTGTCCCAGGTCTGAATTAGCCCCTGATTAGAAGGAGAGGATGAAAAACAGAGGTGTTTCGGCCCTCCAGGACCGGAATTGAAGAACCCTGTTGTAGAATAATAGTGAATACCTCAAAACTATGAAATAACACATATGGAATCATGTAGTAACAAATAAAGTGTTAAACAAATCAAAAAATTTCACTTTTGAGATTTTTCAAAGTAGCCACCCTTTGCCTTGAGGACAGCTTTCCACACTCATGGCATTCTCTCAACCAGCTTCATGAGGTAGTCACCTGGAATGCATTTCAATTAACAGGTGTGCCTACTTATAAGTTAATTTGTGGAATTTCTTTCCTTCTTAATGCGTTTGAGCCAATCAGTTGTGTTGTGACAAGGTAGGAATGGTATACAGAAGATAGCCCTATTTGGTAAAAGACCAAGTCCATATTATGGCAAGAACAGCTCAAATAAGTAAAGAGAAACGACAGTCCATCATTACTTTAAGACATGAAGGTCAGTCAATCCGGAACATTTCAAGAATTTTAAAGTTTCTATGATGAAACTGGCTCTCAGGAGGACCGTCACAGAAAAGGAAGACCCAGAGTTACTTCTGCTGCAGAGGATAAGTTCATTAGAGTTAACTGCACCTCAGATTGCAGCCCAAATAAATGCTTCACGAAGTTCAAGTAACAGACACATCTCAACATCAACTGTTCAGAGGAGACTGCGTGAATCAGGCCTTCATGGTCGAATTGCTGCAAAGAAACCACTACTAAAGGACACCAATAAGAAGAAGAGACTTGCTTGGGCCAAGAAATACGAGCAATGGACATTAGACCGGTAGAAATCTGTCCTTTGGTCTGATTAGTCCAAATGTGAGATTTTTTGGTTCCAACCGCCGTGTCTTTGTGAGACGCAGAGTTGGTGAACGGATGATCTCCGCATGAATAGTTCCCACTGTGAAGCATGGAGGAGGAGGTGTGATGGTGTGGGGGTGCTTTGCTGGTGACACTGTCTTTGATTTATTTAGAATTCAAGGCACACTTAACCAGCATGGCTACCACAGCATTCTGCAGCGATACGCCATCCCATATGGTTTGCGCTTAGTGGGATTATCATTTGTTTTTCAACAGGACAATGACCCAACACACCTCCAGGCTCTGTAAGGGCTATTTGACCAAGATGGAGGGTGATGGAGTGCTGCATCAGATGACCTGGCCTCCACAATCACCCGACCTCAACCCAATTGAGATGGTTTGGGATGAGTTGGAGCGCAGAGTGAAGGAAAAGCAGCCAATAAGTGCACAGCATATGTGGGAACTCCTTCAAGACTGTTGGAAAAGCATTCCATGTGAAGCTGGTTGAGAGCATGCCAAGAGTGTGCAAAGCTGTCATCAAGGCAAAGGGTGGCTACTTTGAAGAATCTAAAATCTAAAATATATATTGATTTGTTTAACACTTTTTTGGTTAGTACATGATTCCATATGTGTTATTTCATAGTTTTGATGTCTTCACTGTTATTTACAATGTAGAAAATAGTAAAAATAAAGAAAAACCCTTGAATGAGTAGGTGTGTCCAAACGTTGACTGGTACTGTACATCACAGAAGACTGAAATATAACAAAACCGTTTGACATAGAAAAACCAGATTTTCTGCATTTTTAAAATTCATTTTGATTAACTATGAAATTATGAAAAAGATTAATATCATTACACCCATGAGGCCACTAGAGGGCGAGTTGGTCATTTGACTGCAGGAAAGGGTCTACTTTAAGCCAGTGTGCTACAGCAGGGAAATAATCCTGCAGCAACAGCAAATATGAATTATTATGTGGATTATAATTTTCATTTTTGTAGGGGTTGATACATTTTTTGGGCAAATCAGTCTGACATTTCAAAGTGAAAATTACAAACTTTAAAAGCCTTTTTAAAACTAAAATACACTATAAGTTTAATTTCCTGCCGTGCAGGAAAATTCTCAGCAACAAAAGAGTGATCAAATGAAGGTCCTACATTGGTATGGTCTGTCTGAATCCTGCAGTTGTAACATAGGCTAACATAAGAGGATATCTTCATATCATGGCATTGATGTATGCTTTATCTCCTTATGTTGCACATGTGTTACTAAACATTTATATTTACAGGAGTTACTTTGGAAACCAAGGGACAACCAACTTCTCTCTGAGGCTGGCCGGTATCCGACATGCTATGGAGGTGTGAAATTGTGAATTTAGCACCTTTTGTATTTCATTTGATGAACATTTCTGGACTGTTTGTAAATGTATTGTCTTGTTCTCACAGGCTCTGACATCCTCAGACAGTACCTCCCTTAATTACCTCACCCACGCTGGGAGGATGGTGTTGAGCGGATTGTCCAAGCTCAACCAGCAGGTAACCATTCACATAATTGTACAGAGTTCATCAGACCAGATATACAGTATAGTTCCCACATAGATGTCATTTCAACGTCTAGTTTTGAGTTACATTTGGTTGAGTTGTCAACTAATGTGAATTCAATGTGAAATCAACAAAAACATTGACCATGTCATTGGATTTAGGTTAAAAGTTAGGTGAAAAAAAGACTAAATTCCCTTACGTTGATGACTTTTTTCAAATCCAATCAGTTTTCCACGTTGCTTTAACATCATCACATTACATTTTTTTGTTAAAATGACATAGAAACTACGTTGATACAACAAGTATTTGCCCAGTGGGTTACCTTTAGGCAACAGTGATTCATAGGTTTTAGTTGAAAAGTTCCAATGTCTTACAAGCAAAACAATCAGAGACCCTCTGAATTACAGACCTGAATCTTTGATTTTATGATCTAAGTTTAAGGAATTGTATGATTGTTTTGTTTTGAGGATGTGAGGCAGTTTGAGCAGGCCTACGACCTCCTGGTGAACTTCATTAATGAGCCAGCAAACAGGGAGCGACTAGAGCAAGAGATGGCTCTTGTAGGAGTAGGTTTACATGCAAGTTTGAGCGTTAGCTGCAGGCACAGTCTGCTCATCCAACATCTACTCAATGAGACTTTCTAAAGTGCTTGTCAATGAAGATTATGTAATTAGCGTATTTGTTTGACTTCAGATCGACCGCATCAACTTCGTGGATGTATTTTATGAATTCGTTCTACTAAGCCTTCTAGAAGGAAAAACATCTCTTCCTACATCTGTAAGTGGCCCTAAGAATGTAAACATCCTGTTGTTTATCTATCCTATCCACACTGTTGTATCAAGCCTGTAGACACTCACTCATGTCCCCTGTTCCTTCTCCAGAGGCCTGGTAGCTTCTTTTATCTGCTCATGGAAGTGATAAAGAGGATTCACCCTCCTGGAGGAGCCTGGACAGAGGCTGCTTGGAACTTCTACCTCCTCATTAAGGTACATTTCTCTCTCTCTCTCTCTCTCTCTCTCTCTCTCTCTCTCTCTCTCCTCTCTCTCTCTCTCTCTCTATATATATATATATATATATATATATATATATATATATATATCCTGAGCTGTGTGTGATGGTTTGTTCATCATTATCTTTGTAGTTGGTCATTAAATAATAGTTGATGATGTGTCTGTTGTCGTCAGGGCCAGATGAAGGCGTGGCTGGACTCCATCTTCAACCTCGATGAGTCCATCTATGAAAGCCCACAGAGGCTCTCGGGGCAGGTGAGGGGGAATCTAGAAATGCAGGTTGAGTTCCTCCTGTCCAGCCTGGATTAAGGGTCCCAAACTGAGCTGAGGATCACTAACACAAAATAAAGTTTTTTTGCATTTAAACATTATCTGTCAATCGTAAACTAACTTTACATAATGTGTGGGGGAGAGTGGGGTAAGTTGAGCCATTTTTTACATTCAGTATCACTCCGTCAAGGGAAATATAGTATTCTTTCTAACAAAGATATCTACATATATTTCAACTTGCCATTGGCTCAACCATTGGCTCAACTTACCCCAAGGCAAACATTTTGACTTTATTAGCCCACACAGCTATAATGATGCACTTTCATGCCAGGTTTAGGACCTCATATTAAAGCTTATAGAGACCCCAACTGATGTATAGAACAATCTTTACATTATCTACATTGGTTTAGGTACAAGCATAATGAAACCTCTAACACAAAAAATTAATTTGACTTGGTGAAAATCTGTTTTTTGGACCTTACTTGCTTACCACTTTTTCTATGTGGTTTCTTTCTTCATAATAATAATATGCCATTTAGCAGACGCTTTTATCCAAAGCGACTTACAGTCATGTGTGCATACATTTTTACGTATGGGTGGTCCCGGGGATCAAACCCACTACCCTGACGTTACAAGCGCCATGCTCTACCAATTGAGCTACAGAGGACCCATGAAATGAAATGATGACCACACAAGAAGTAGATTAATGAAACTGGTTACAATTGACGGAGTCACCCATAATTCACCAAATGATATTGGCTCTGATGTGGACAAGGAGGAGAGGGCAGATCTGGCTTCAAAGGAGAACTCCTGTAGAAACTGTAGACACTGCATTATGCTATTTGGATAGCCGAGCAGACAAGGTGAAAAATCTGTCGATGTGTCATTGAGCAAGGCACTTACCTCTAATTTGCTCTAGGGGCGCCGTACTACTACGGCTGACCCTGTAAAACAACACATTTCACTGTCTGCCCCTATCCGCTGTATGTGACAATAAAACATGGTTAATTGTATTTATTTCACTCCCTGAGCACATCGATTAAGGCAGTCCCCCGCACCTCTCTGATTCAGAGGGGTTGGGTTAAATGCGGAAGACACATTTCGGTTGAATGCATTCAGTTGTGCAACTGACTAGTTATCCCCCTTTCCCTTCCCAGTAACTCTAACAACAGTCCTGATGATTCCTCAATGCAGGTGCAACCGCTTGTCTCCCTCTAATGGTCATACACTACTATTACATGTTCTCATCTGCAGCTGGCCAATTTGATCTTTGCTGTTTTCCCCTCTGTGTCTCCCTGCTCCCGACCATTTTTAGAGGCGCCAAGAGCCATGGCATTTACAGTCAGCTGTTTAGGGATGATTTAGCCTCGCTGGAAGGTAGAATTTCAAGCAATGCAATTTACCATCCATTGTATTTTATGCTTACTGTATTTATATTGTATATTATGTATGTTGACCGTGTAAATTCCTCTGTCTGTATTCTGTCTGTATATTTGTCTATTGCTGGGTATGAGTAAATGTACTTGGTGAATAAGTACATTCTGATTCTGACGGTGAAATGATGGTGAAATGTATGTCAAGTGAAAGCATCCAATGGCCTATTACTCTTCTCTCACTGCTTTCCGACCTCCCTCTGAGATTCGAGGGTGAAAACGGATTATCACACATCTATCTCTATCTGAGAAACGTTCTATTGTAGGATTTAAAAAAAATATGTAGCCTATAAAACATTTAAAACCCTGCAACATAATTGAATATATCAGTATTGTCAGATCAGTGGTTAACCTAACCCCAGGGAAGGGAGAAAGGAAGCAAGGAGGAAGGGATGCAATTGTAGGTGAGATTGGAAAAGATGGCGGAGGTGGAGGATGAAGTGGATTGTGAATCTAATGGCGGTAGAATCAAGGAGGATTGGAGTCTTTTTCAAAAAAATGGAAAATGGAGTAAAGTAGGGTACAGTGATGAGAACGTCCCTTTATATCTTGTAGGTGGAAGGTTTGTTAATGAGGAGCAGCTTATCCAAATACCAATCTTGAAGAATCCATTTGAGCTATTCAAACTGGTGGAGAGAGTGATGGGTAAAGTGAAGGATGTGAGGGTCATGAGAGGCGGGTTTGTTTCGATTCTTTGTACTTCTGCGGATCAGAAGGAACGTGTGTTGCGGCTCATCCCGATTTGAAAAGTTTGACGTGTCGTGTGTGTCTCTTCGGAACAGGGCACCCCTAAAGGGGGTAATATCTGGCGTCTCGTGGGAAGTCGATGTTAAAGAGATGAAAAATATTCCTGGAGTGATTGATGCACGTCGGATGAATCGAGTGGTGAATGATGAAAAAGTGAAGAGTTTATTTGTTCTTTTGTTTTTTGATATGGAGTCTCTCCCTATTCAAGTGCAGTTGGGGTATATAAACTACAAAGTCAGAGCATTTATCCCAAGACCAATGCAGTGTGATCACTGTAAAGCTTTTGGTCATGTGTCAAGGGTTTGCAGAAGGGAGAAACCGAGATGTCCAAGTTGTGGAAAATATCATTTAATGTGTTATAAAAGTGATGAAAAAGTGAAATGTTACAATTGTGGTGGGAACCATGAAGCCACGGTGAAAGAAAATGAGGAGGCCAAAGTTAGGGTTGTACAGAGCATTTCCTATGCAGCAGCGGTTAAAAGGGTTGAGGGTTTGAATGGTGCTCCTGAAGAGTCCATGGTGGTGGATAGGCCTTCAATGCAAGCTGCAGGGTTTGCCTTTCACCAAGATGATCCTGACATTTTAAAGGTTAAAAATGTGGACTTTGTGGCCTTTATTGCAATGGTGATTAATGGCACTACCAAGGTGGAGAAAATATAGAAATCATTGTGGTTGCGGCAATTTAATCCTCCAGAAACGACAGAACAAATAATGCAACAAATATTGTGGTTAAATTCAAAAATACTAATTGACAAAAAAACTTTATTTTTTGACAGAATGTTTAAAAAAGGTATAATCTTCGTAAATGATATCATCGGTAGGACTGGTGGAGTTATGTCGCACATGCAGCTAACAAAAACATGTGGAAATGTCTGCTCTACCCAAAATTACAACCAAATAATTGCAGCCTTACCGCAAAAGTGGAAGAGGAAAGTGGAAGGGGGAGAAAGTAAGGAACTTGTCTGTCGGCCTTGCATTAAAGAACATAATTGGTTAAGGAAAACTGTGATAAATAAAAAAGTATATCAGTTTCACTTAAGGACCAAAGGATTGACAGCCGTCCCATATAGATTGCAAAATAGTTGGGAAGAGATTTTTGACGTACCGATCCCATGGCATAGTGTTTATGAACTGACACGCAAAACGACACCGGATTCAAAAATTAGAATCTTTCAATTTAAATTATTATATAATATTCTTGCTACCAATAGAATGTTATTTATATGGGGAATACAATCTTCCCAGCTCTGCAGATTTTGCTGTGAAGAGACAGAATCATTAGATCATTTGTTTTGGTTCTGTCCATTTGTAGCTTGTTTTTGGACACATGTCCAGGAATGGCTAAAGGATTGCAATATTTACCTGGAGCTAACCTTGCAGATAGCATTACTGGGTGATCTGAAAAGTCATAGTCAATCGATAAATAATATAATAATACTTTTAGCAAAAAAATATATTTTTAATTCACAATCTGTAGAAGCAATGAGAATAGTTTATGGACATAGTTTAGAGACTTGTCCCAAAGCCACTCCTGCATTTCCTTGGCTGTGTGCTTAGGGTCGATGTCCTGTTGGAAGGTGAACCTTCACCCCAGTCTGAGGTCCTGAGTGCTCTGGAGAAGGTTTTCATCAAGGATCCCTCAGTACTTTGTTCCGTTCATCTTTGCCTCGATCCTGACTAGTCTCCTAGTCCCTGCTGCTGAAAAACATCCCCACAGCATGATGCTGCCATCACCATGCTTCACCGTAGGGATGGTGCCAGGTTTCCTCCAGATGTGACGCTTGGCATTCAGGCCGAAGAGTTAAATCTTGGTTTCATCAGACCAGAGAATCTTGTTTCTCATGGTCTGAGAGTCTTTAGGTGCCTTTTGGCAAACTCCAAGCGGGCAGTCATGTGCCTTTTACTGAGGAGTGGCTTCCGTCTGGCCACTCTACCATAAAGACCTGATTGGTGGAGTGCTGCAGAGATGGTTTACCTTCTGGAAGGTTCTCCCATCTCCACAGAGGAACTCAAGAGCTCAGTCAGAGTGACCATCGGGTTCTTGGTCACCTCCCTGACCAAGACGCTTCTCCCCTGATTGCTCAGTTTGGCCGGGCGGCCAGCTCTAGGAAGAGTCTTGGTGGTTCCAAACTTCTTCCATTTAAGAATGATGGATGCCACTGTGTTCTTGGTGACCTTCAATGCTGCAGAAATATTTTAGTACCCTTGCTCTGACATGCACTGTCAACTGTGGGACCTTATATAGACAGGTGTGTGCCTTTCCAAATCATGTCCAATCAATTGAATTTACCACAGGTGGACTCCAATCAAGTTGTAGAAACATCTCAAGGATGATCAATGGAAACATGATGCACCTGAGCTCAGTTTCGAGTCTCATAGCAAAAGGTCTGAATACTTATGTAAATAAGGTATTTCTGTTTTATATTTTTAATACATTTGCAAAAATTTCTAAAAAACCTATTTTCGCTTTGTCGTTATGGGGTATTGTGTGTAGATTGATTAGGATTGTTTTATTTAATCCATTTTAGAATAAGGCTGTAACGTAACAAAATGTGGAAAAAGTCTAGGGGTCTGAATACTTTCCGAAGGCATTGTATGTATGGCCAAGTTTCCTAACAGTCTTCCAAAATTCCTCTACCCGTATTTGAAGATTTTTCACACACACTCACACACGCACACACACACACACACACACACACACACACAGTTTTGTTACTTTGAATTCATGATTAAACATAATTTAAACAAAATGCACCGATATATCTGGATGATACTAGTACATTGTGTCCAAACTCAAATGGCAAAGTGTTTACATTGATACGTTATCATACTAGCTATACATACTCACACTTTCATATT